TAGTACACACACGAAAATAGCGGTACCCCGTTGCGGTGTCCCATGGAACAAGTTGCGGCGTCACCATACCAATTCYGAACCTTGAACTAGCCAACTAGAACTTRTCTCGACGTTATATCTCAGCAATCCGTACCTGTCAATGTCAAACCCGGATCACTCAGTCGGGCTCGYTGTAATTCTTACCATACCGAAGCCGAACCTGATATAACCATCCGGGGATCMCGTGSCTCGYGCCGTGTCGRTACCGATCCAGTACCAAGTCTGAAAATGATGCTGTGGCGTGTACCACGCCAATGSCGAACCAATACCRTACCTGAAACATGTCGAACACGGCAAGATGCAGCGGCRCGGTAATAGTACCGAACCTGAAGTAAACCGTCGCAATGATCCCGGACCTGAAAATAAATCACCGCAGAGGTTCCGAAATAAACTGCCGTGAGGGCGTCGAACCTGAAACGAAAACACCGCGATGCCACCGAACCTGACCAAACCCGAAATCCAGTACCGGGCTGTTGTGCCATGCGGATGCCGAACCCGTACAATCATGCCATGATAACCTGTCCCAAACCTGATATAGACTGCCGCAACGTTTCCGGACTTGAAAACAAACTGCCGCCAAGGTTCCAAACCTGGAATAATTATTGCAGTGGCCCCGGTCCTGAGAATAAATCACCGCAGCTGTCCCAAACCTGAAAATAAGTCACCGTAGTGAGACAGCTGTCACCGGGCCCATACCGTACCTGAAGCACGTCAGACACCGTAGGACGTAGCCACTCCGTAAAAACCCTCGTATCCGTACCGAACCAAACACCATAGTCGACCCAAGGCAGCACCACCCCATGCTGTCCATGCGACTYCTGCTCTCAGAACATCTCAACTGCGGTAATGTTAGTAATCAAGCACACCAGGGAAAGCGTCGCAGGGAACCTCGACCATCGGCAGTAGTGTTAACTTGTTAAAATCCGGGGAAAATGATCAATCCGGAGTCAGAGCTGATGGCGGGTAATCGAGGCGAAATTAGGCCAATCTCCCAATAGTCATGGGTTGCCGTTCCTTTCATCGTTTTTCATCATTCTTCCCTTTCCTTAATTCTATTGTCGGAAATAATAAAGTTACTGTAAGTTTCCCAAAGTTAAATTTCGATAAAATTTAAATAAATGGCCGAATTCCTTTTGTTTCTTTTCTCCTTTACTATTTTTAATCTTTTTCTATGTTTTTTAATTTCATTGCCGGGAACATAAAATAACAAGGGTATTCCCCTTTGAATTTAATGCCACGAAAAATAAAGAAATTAAGGGATATTATATTTTTTCTTTCTCCACTTCTGGCCTTGATCCCTTTTCCCCATCTTTAATTGTGGTACTAATATGGGCAAAACTTTGAGGCTTCATTTCGGCCCCGGTCGCGCCTAGTACGGCCACTCATCTCGTCGTCTTTGAGGGTTGCTCGTAAAGTTCAGCGCACCCAAAATCAGGGGTGTCCTAAGCTCCCTTAATTTTTGCTGCCTGGTCAACCCGGAGCACCGTCAAAACACGGACTTGTCTTTGAGCCTAAGACCCAAAACCCCAGATTTCAGGCGGCGCACTGCTTGTGGCCACCTGACAGTTAGCCCGGACCACTTCTCGACGCCCCCGTCGAGCCCTACCCACTTACGTCAGACGAAGCGGACGAGCTTCAAGGTGATGGCCCGTAAAGGACGCCCACGTCGGCGATCAATTGTGTTATGTTTCAGTCTGTTTTGAGTTTTAGGGCTAAGTAAATGTTTTTTTACTTTCCTTCCCCGCCGGGTTCTCGGCCTTGGTAGGATCCTTTTTTTTTTCTGTCGTTGGCCCGAGAAGGGTGCCGTCCCGCTAGTTTCTCTAATGCGGACTCTCCGTTTGGCCCTTTGAGCACGAATAACCATTTCTTCTTTCTTCCTAGAGCTAACCCTTTGGCCTTTCTTTTTTCTATTCTTTTTCTCTTCTTGGAGCTTTCGCCTGCCTCGAATCGTCTCAAGGGATCTCCATCCTCCATCTTTGACTTCCCCTTTCCTTTGGGGCCCGTCAGCGATAAGGTGGGTGCAGGCCTGGGTCTAAACAGCTTTAACCTAGCACCCGCCACTGGGTCCTTCCACTTAGATCCATCCAATTTTGCTATCATATATGCACCCCAGTCGAGTGCCTCAACCACTCTGTAAGGTCTCATCCATCTATTTGCGAGTTTTCCGGTCCAGGTCCTTTCCAGTGCCGCGTCGTAGAGAAGGACCATATCTCCTACGCTCACCCTCTCTTTCCTGATTCGCACGTTCTTATCCCATCTCTCTTTACGCTTGTCCCTTTCCACTGCCAGATGATCTGCCACTATCATGAGGTTATCTTCCAAACCGTAGGCTATTTGTCTTGTTAGGGCAGCTAAGAGTTCCTCTGTGGACATCTCCTCCGCCCAGTCGACGGTTGTCCAGCTGTCGATGTGAAACTCTATGGGGAGCGGACAATGTCGCCCAAACCACAAGGTGTACGGTGGGTATCCGGTACTAGCCCGGACCGTGACGTTATCCGCCTATATTGTGTATCGAAAATATCGTGGCCAATCACTGTCCTTACCCTTGCACCACTTGGACAGTGACGCTATCAGAGTCTGGTGTCCCCTCTCTACTGGGGAGTTCGACTGTGGGTGATAGGCGGTGGCTATCGAAATTCTCGCCCCGGCTCTCTTGAACACACTCTGGACCTCGTCAGCTAGAAATTCCGCCCCTCTGTCCATCACTATCTTGCTGACACAACC